CCGCATCCCTGTTTCCGTGCCTGGGTCTTAGGGGCAGGTCGAAACAATGAGGGCCTGAAAATGGCCCTCCGTTTCAGGCTGAAAACTCTGGGTCTGAAAAGACCCAGAAATAGGCTGAAACGAGGTAGGGCCTGCAGGCCCTCGTTTTTCAGCATCCAGGCTGAAATGAACGGGGCCTGTAAGCCCTAAGTTTTAGGCTTTTAGGCTGAATGTCCGGGACGGGCCCTGNAAATGAACGGGGCCTGTAAGCCCTAAGTTTTAGGCTTTTAGGCTGAATGTCCGGGACGGGCCCTGTAGGCCCGTGTGGCTACGCAGTATGCCACAGCCTCGCTGACAGGGCACGACAAATAAAGCAAAAGAAAAATTCACAGGAAAAGTGGGGCACTGCAGGTCTGGGGGCCAAGGGCAGTTAGAACACTCTTTTTTTTTTTATGAGCGGAAAAACGGGTCCAGGGTCCCGTACAAGAAGCAACCTTTATGGTATGATCCGGGCACTCCGGCCAGATTCATGCCCCGGTCACGGTCACCAAACAAACTGAAAAGACTAACAAAACGCAAATGCTTACACAGTTTCGGTGCCCCTGTATCTATAAACCTAATAACGAGGGAAGAGCAAGGTAACAGACGAGGGAAGAAAACAAAGAAACGACAGAAGGACTAAAATTACAGAATGAGAAGCAATAACCGGTCAGGCCCAAGCGATTGATCATACCGCCTAGAAAGGTCACTCAGACTCAACTGAACAATCTATGTCAGACCCTATTTACAGTCTGTCTTACAAGGCAATTCTGCAGAATACACACAGTCGCCACCAAACTCAAAAAGTGAAAAACAGCAAATGCTCATGCAGTTTCAGTGCCCCTATGTCTATGAGCCTAATGGTGAGGGAAGAGAGAGGCAACAAACGGTGGAAGACGACAAGGGAGCAATAGAAGGACGAAAATTACAGAAAATTTCAGAACAAGAAGCAATAATCGTTCAGTCAGGCCCGAGCGACCGATCATATGGCCTAAAAAGGTTACTTCAACTCAACTATACAATCTGTTTCAGACATTATTTACAGTCTATTTTACAAAGCAGTTCTCAAAGTAAAAAAGTAGAGAATTTCAACTCCGGACGCATGGCAGGTTGCTGTTGGACCGTGAGTAGGCTTGCAAAGGCCAACCATCTGGCAACGAAACGCCTTGTTGCTTTAGCTGTAAAAACTTTATTATTAACTTTGTAGGTCCAATCGGTGTCAATCGCCTGATTGATTGAGTACTTTGTTTCCTCCTGGACCATAGGGGGCATGATTCTTCCACCCCTTCTGCTTGCCGAACTCCGCAGCGTCCATAATGTCCAGAGAATGGCAGCTCTCTCAAGGTTTCCTCTCCATAGCCAAGCTGCAGCGTGCCTCTGGCTGCCCTGGTGTAGTGCCAGGGCTATTTGGCTATTTTGCCTGTTCAGCCTGTGGGACCAGGCCATGGCCTGACCCCACAAGCCATATGCTCATTCAGTCCAGTCCAGTCCTGCCCGGTACCACTGTCGGTACCAGGCCAGTCCAGGCCAGTCCAGTCAGTCCGCTAGTCGTATACCCCAGGTGCAGTCTGTTTTTAGTCTCATTCTTCATTTGCACAATTTGGAGTACATGCGTGTTGAGTCTGCGTTGGAGCTGCGATGTCCCTTCCAGCTCCATCTCCATCTTCATCTCCCTCATCCCTTCGTCTTGATCCTGATGGACCGCCATCCCGGCAAGTCCGTCACACGGTATCTAAGCGGGAACGGTCCCCACTCCCACCCATCTCATCCCACAAGTGTGAGAAATTTGTGTAAATCCTGATAGCGGGAATTTCACCTTTTTTCGGAGTGAAAAGACGGGAAACGGGGGGGGAAAGGAGCAGCGATGAGTCACGCACACGTAGTGAAAAAGGAGACTGTCATCACTACGCGTGCACGCACGCGGGCCACATGACCATGCTGCCCCGCTGGCACGCCCTGCCCCACCCCGCTCCCGCACGCGCCAATATCTGGGAGTACACTGGCCAAACTCCATGCATAACCTAGTAGCGTGGCACGTTGGTGTTGAAGAGTGCCACGCCAGCTATTTACAGCCCCCAACCCCCTGCGTCGTGGTTGTTGCACTCTGCACACGTGGCCATCTGTAGTGCCACGTGACAACTTGCTGAAGATTTTGAAGACCCCCTTGGCTAGGGGGCTGCACTACAGTGGAATTTGGGTGGCTGATCAAGATCTCAGCACACCCAGATGATGATGATGATGATGATTTTTTTTTTTTCTACTGCTGCAGCGGCAGTTTGGCAGCAGTGAACAACCCCCTGGCTAGGGGGCAACGCAACTGTGCAATCAGGGTGGTTGATCAAGATCTCAACCAACCCTATATTATTTTTAGTATTTTTTACTGCTGCAGCAGCAAGCTGCCACCACCTTGAAGGCCAAGATCCTGTGTGTCTTGGTGATCTTGTTTGCTCTTGGCCAACCACGAGCTCAGTATCACCTCTCTTTCACTAACCTACTCTCCCACCCCCCCTCTCTCTCTCCCCTCCACCCTCTAATCATTTTTTTTCTAACTATGTCCCTAATCTCTCATCCTTCCTCACTCTCCTCTCTTCGTTTTTCCACTTCTCTCCCCTTCTCCCCACTGCTCTCTCATACCCCTCCCTTTCCACTATCTTCCACCATCTTTTTTTCTCCTCTCCTCCTCACCCACTCACTCTCTTCCACCAATCTTTTTTCCTTTGCACCCTTCTCATCATTTTTTCTCTAATTCTCTCACCTTCCTCTTCTGCTTTCTTCCTCCTACTATAACCCCATCATCCCCCTCATCGACCATTTCAAACTTTCTATATTTCTCACCTCTCTTTCACTTTTCTCACCTCTTGCTCACCCCTCTCCCCCCCCCCCCAACTTTGAATTTCCTTATTTTCTTATTTTGTATTCTCTTTGATTTATATTTATTTATTTCTTCCAAAAAATCGAATTATCTCATCACCTCCTTTTTCTTCCATTTTCTTGAATTTTTTTTTTGTTTTGTAATTACTCTGAAAGTTTTGAATTTCTTTCCGGCACCCTCAAATCTGGTTAGGACTTAGTCATTCTTGCTTCGGCGCACATTTTTACCCGTGGGGGTAACGAAGTGGTGCTGAAATTTCTCTTTTTCTTCTTAGTATTTTCCCAACACATTTTGATCCCTTGGGGGTAGCGAAGTGCTCACAAAATCTTCTCATTTTATTTAGTCATTTTCTTTTACGGCACACTTCGATCCCAAGAGGGTAATAAAATGTTATCGAATTTTTAAAAATTTCATAACATAGTTTTCTCTTCACTCTCCTCCACCTTCTTGTTTATTTATTTATCTTCTTAAAATTTTGATTTGCGGTATTTTCAACGTTAGTGTGCTTCTCTTGGTTTTTGCTCTTCTCTTGGCACATTTTGATCCCATTGGGAATGGGGAAATGCTGCCAAAAATTTCAAAAAAATAAATATTATTTATTTCCTTACTATGAAACACCCGCGGACGCGTCCGCGGGGTCAAGCTCGGAGGGCGGACGTGATCACGGTCGCCGCGGCTCCAGCCGCGGTTAGGTGCGCCCGCGACTTTCAAGAATTTTTTATGACCTTAAAAATTTATCAAAAAACAAAACCAAAAATATAGGGTTGTAGATCTTTTCGAGATCTAAATTGCGCAATGTTTTCTTTTATTTTTCAACTTCGTCTTTGGATTTTAAAAATTCAAAAACTAATTTTCCTGAGGCAAAAGCTGTTTGTTTGTTTTTTTCCAAAAAAAAACATGAAACGTATGTGATTTTTTATTTTAAATTCAGTAACATTTTTGGATATGACCACAAGGCAAAAGTTGTTCAGTATATTTTTCTGCATAACATATGTTTTTTTCAGAATTTGTTGAAATCTTTTTTTTGTTTTTGTTTTTTTCATGGCCGCGGACCGCGGACACGTCCGCGGGGTCGCGGCCTAGTTTCCTTACCTTTTGTTTATTCCATTTTTTACTTACTTTATTATTCATTATTTATTTTTTACCTTGGCTACCGGAGTGGCCCGGGGTCACTTGCCTGGCCGAGCCAGTTCTCTATGATGTAACCTACACACCTATAAATTTTGAAGTCATCCTGCTAATCCAAAAAAACATTAAAAATCGTCAAAGATGGCGGTGTCAAAATGTGTTCGCCCACTCACTATTTTGTTTTTTTTCACTTTATTTCGGGGCCTAAAACATTTTATTATTTTTTGACACATTTTTAATGAGTTATTGATTATGTAAACTACATATTTGTAAATTTTCCGGGCATTTGTCAATGCCAAAAAAATAATTAAAAATCGGCAAAGATGGCGGTGTCGAAAAGGTGCAGGCATACTCACTCATTTTAATTCTCTTTTTATTTTTTCTTATTTTTATCATAGTGTTTATTTTCTGTATTTGATTTTTAATTCAAATTTGGTAAATAATTTGGATGTAGTACCCAATCAAATGTTGTTTAGTTTATTTTTCTCCATAACATATTTGTTTTCCGGAAGTTTTTGAAAAACTTTTTTTTTTTTTTTTTTTGTCCGCGTTCGGCCCGAATGGCCGAACGCCTTCCGAAGGGGTCCCGTACGTTCGGACATTCGGCCCGTCCCGAATGTCGGCAACCTCGTATGTATATATATATATATATATATATATATATATATATATATATATATATATATATATATATATATATATATATATATATATATATATATATATATATATATATATATATATATATGTGTGGGTAGCACCCCGAGTACACCGCGTACGGGTACGTACTCCCGCGTTCGAGTACATGGTTAAAAATGCACGTACGCGTACATGTTTTATATATAATATAATATAATTTATATATATATATAAATAATATTATATAGCATTATATACCATATTATACATATAATATATACGATAATATAGTAAAAATATACTGCTATTTCTATTATACCTTTACGGAAGACAACGGGGAGGTGGACGAGATGACAGAGGAAGACAACGAGGGGAGGAGGAGGAGGAGGAAGACGATGTGGAGGACAAGGCGATGACAGGGGAAAATGACTGCGAGGAGGAGCGGGTAGAAAATGGCGACGGGAAGGTGGGGCAGATGGAAGAGGGCGACGATGGGGAGGAAAAACGACGGGAAGGTGGAGACGATGGAGGAGGGAAGGTGGTGGAGGATATGGAGGTGGAAGACGACGACGATGACGGGACGATGACTGCGGGGGAAGATGACTACGGGGAGGAGCGGGTGGAAGATGGCGATGGGAAGGTGGGGCTGATGGTGGAGGGCGACGATGGGGAGGAAAGACGACGGGAAGGTGGAAATGATGGAGGAGGGAAGCCTGAGGTGGTGGAGGATATGGAGGAGGAAGACGACAACGATGACGGGACGATGACTGGGGGGGAAGATGACTGTGGGGAGGAGCGGGTGGAAGATGGCGAGGGGAAGGTGGGGCAGATGGAGGAGGGCGGCGATGGGGAGGAAAGATGACAGGAAGGTGGAGACGATGGAGGAGGGAAGGTGGTGGAGGATATGGAGGTGGAAGACGACGCAATCACACACACATACTTACACACACATACACACACACACACACACACACACACACACACACACACACGGGGCGGGGCCGGGGGGTAACGAGGGGGGGGGGGTAAGACCTTTCCGCCACGATTTCGAAGGTCTAACCTCCCCCTGACACTACCCCCCAACCCTGCTCTGGCCCCGACCCATCCCCCCGCCCACCCTCCAACCCCTACGAGCGAAATCAAGCCCGGGAAATGATCCGCTGCAACCACGTACGCGGGCCCCAAAATTGGGTACGTCCATACACGTACGCGCGTACGTATACGTGGTGCTACCCATATATATATATATATATATATATATATATATATATATATATATATATATATCCTGATGAGTCAATGAAACTCCGACGAAACAGTTTGTCACATCCCCTCGTTTGTTGTCCTCTTCTCTCTCTCTGCCTACGGTTTTACCGGG